AGAAATTGGCGGCCGTCGCTACTGCCGTTATTACTGAAATTACTGCATCAAATCGGCCCACTTAACTCGACCCAAAGACGTGCAAGGGCGGGGGCTGCCTCTGCCTCTGCCCCTACCTCTGTCTCGATGCGTACGCGCCAGCCAGCCAGCCAGCCAGCCAGCCAGTCAGTCAGCGAATCGAGTTGAATCTCGGGACTTGGCGGAGGACTTGGGACCGGCAATTAGGCAAAACATGCTCTAATATTTCATGTGCGGTTCGTCGAATGGACGCGAGCTTTTAATTACAATGCCCAATAAGGACGAGAACATGGCCAAGGAGGCCAGGTATCAGGTAAAGGTAAAGGCAAAGGTAACTCACCAAGGGCAGCTGCAATGTACTCGTAAGTGCAGAGGAGGAAATTTGTTTTTTGATTGCTGCTTGATCCGATTTGAATAAGGAACAAGATGTGCAGCAACGGTCTGAATTTCAGTTTGTTTCTCATTTATTCTGTTTTGGATTGCAAATTTGCCGCACGTCCGGTTCAGAAATGGCTGGCGAGTTGGTCAGTTGCCAGTTGCCAGTTGCCGGGGAGCTGATGGGGAGCGGATGGACCAAGTGCGTTTTTGGCTATAAATTAAGCGAATCCAAGAGGAAGCAGCGTTCAAACACCAAATACTTGTGCACACACGCTCGTATATTCATAACAACCGAGCAACAACAATGGAAATGCGCGGAGAACGATAATCGATTTTTGTTTATTACGATCTCCTGCTACTCCTTCTCCTGTCTCTGGGATCATCTCGTCGCGCTTTGTGGCAAGCACGCGTCTGCTCCTTCGCATTCGAACCGTTGCAGTTACCTGCCCCTGCCACCCCCACTTTTCACTTTCGTGGCCAGAACGTCCACCCGAACACACAAACACACAAACACACAACTTCCCTTTAATGAAGTAGTAAAACTCATTCATAAATGCATTCAAAGTGCCCTGCGCTGGCCCTCGCTCTAGCCTCGTGTCGGGCTTATGACGAATAGAAGAATGCGTTCGCAGCCGACCAGTCTTATGGCCGTCAAGAAAGAAGCACCAGCGAAGCGGCTGCAGCAGCGGCCCACCAGCACCACCACCACCACCACCACCACCAACACCAACACCAACACCACCAGCATCAGCACTTGAGCAGAGGCCCAATTCAAGGCTCCGTCTCCATTCCCCATTCTTTAGAGACTCTGATTCGGACTGGGACTGGACTCTGACTTTGACTTTGAGCTTGGGATGTCTGCTCGCTCGCTCGCTTGCTCGCTCGTCCGACCGTTGCATTGAGTCTGTCTGCAGGTAAGAAGCGCTTAATTTTAGCCACGAATCGATTGCAGCCTTTGCCACGAGCCTAACACACGTCGTTTACGTCGTCTCGCCCCCTGGGCTGTGCTTCCCCCTCCTGGCAGTTGGCGGTTGCGAGCTGGCCCTCGCCTTGCGCTCCTTTGTCCGACGAGACGTTACGAAAATTTACATTTATCTTGCATTTCAATTTCGTTTTGTTTGGACTTTTTAATTTCCTCTCTGCAAATGAAATCAATTTCGATGGCATGTCGGGCACTTGCTCGTATGCAGATCAGTTCTACTATATATACGATGCTATACTTGTACGTGTACATACAACTATAAGAATAATCAAATTGTTTGCGGTAATTATATTGCGAATATGCGCTTTTAAAATATGTAGTGTCTGCCCTTTGGTGGGAATTCTTTTCACTTTTTTGTACGCGTATAGCTTGAGCAGTTTTAGAATTCCTCAACTTGTTTTTTTTTTGCCCAGTTTTGGAAACGCCACTGCACGCAAATTGCTGCATACATTGCGCTTCAATCTCATAAATTATTTTTGGCAACGCATCACGCGAGTGTCTCAATGCCTTTTACCTGATTTTGGGGACGGCCAGCGGTCAGCCAGCCCTCGGCAAAGCTAACCAAGCAGCAGGGCTCCCACGTTCCCAACCCATTTCAACTGAGACGCGTGATGATTTTTGTGGGCGATGACTTTTGCTTTGCCCTTTTCCTTACCTTTCCTCTTCTTTTTGCTTGTGTTTTTGTTTTGATCTCTGGTTCTTGCACCGCCAATTTGCTCTATTTTTTATATCAAGTCCGAACAAAAAGTTCTCGGAATCATGAGACACCGTATAATTTAGCTAATTGAATGGGGGTGGGTGATCCTACGCTTTGCCAGCGACAAGTCTGGCGAGAGAAATCGTGAACCGCTCGTTTATTGGGACAAACAGACGGACAGGCAGACAGACAGACAAACATATAAGATGTTCTGTATATTGTGGATTTTATTATGGCCTTAAACGTTTCCGATTTATAAAGAACTCTGTTATATTCTGCACATATATACTACTTATGTAATGTTTATTATTAATCGAGTGTGTGTTTTTGTTTAATAAAATATACTTAACTGCTCACTAAACACTCAAAGGTTACAAAAATCTATCCGCTAATCATTTTCATATATCTATAATTTGCTGCATTTTACAATCTTTGGTAGGCTATAGTTGAAATGCGAATATTATGTTGTATCCGAGAATCATTTTCAAATATTTATAATTTGCTGCATTTTTTATCTCTGGTCGACTATAATTGAATTGCGAATATTTAGTTTCTTTCTGTTTTCTGAATCTGTGCCCCCTCAAAAGCTTAGTTTAATTCATAGCAATTGCAATTAATTTCCACTTGTATTCTTTTCTTTAAATCAGTCTTTAATTATTAACAGAATGATTAATAGCAACATGTGAACCATAATCCTTTCCTTCATATTATTCTCTTATTTCCTTTTTCTTTTTCATGGATCTATACTCCACGTCTATAAATCCTTAACTGACTTTTATGTATGCTCAAAATATCGTCCAAGTAAGGAGTCGCGAACTGACTGTAATAAATCCCACAAAAATAAAAAAAAAATAGTTCCTTAAAAAAACTTGATTTAGTTGCTGGACTTAATAGGCTTACAATAATATTTGGAAGACACTAGTATTGTTTTAACCCAGAGCTCCAGCCTGCTAGCATATGAAATATGATTATTTGTATATTTATACAGCCTTTAAAAAGAAGTTTCTATCCTTATTGTTATTATTGCTATTCTTAAATTATGAAATTGTAAAGATGTACTAGTTATAGTAATGTTGCCTAAAAACACTGAAAAGCCTGTTCATAGCTAACATTAGGCGTAACTTAAGAGACCATCTGCACTTCTATTCCATTTTCTTATGAAAAAGAACGGGTCTTACTAATATTTAAATTTCATATTTGGAACTAAATTTGTATCTTAATCTTGACACTATCCACAGCTATTTGTTTCTAAATACGTCATGTAAATAAATTCAGTGGCATTTCCGCCGACATAGTGTTTATATACCTGTTTAATTTAATTGATGATTCGTGATGTTAGAAAGAAAGAAGGGCTAGAAATATTAGCATTTATGGAATTCAATAAGGTTACATTTTCTACATATTTGCACGAAATTCGTGAATTTTTCGAATTTAATTGTGTCTACTTATATTTGAGTGTAAATTCTCGTATATCCTTAAAATATTTATATTCTTCATCAGTGGGAGTCAATATACAAGGACCTCCGAAAGTATAAGGGTTATTGTCAACAAACTTGGGATACACGTTTTCTTAGATCCAAGAAAGGGTTTTTGTTTTGTTTATGTTTTTTAATGCACTTCCTTTTTTACGGCTATTAATCTAGTTTATAAGTCTGGGAGTTGTGTGCAAAAAAAAGTGCATATGATTTGCATTATTAATTCCTTATTTGTTGCCTTTTAAATTTGTTGGCCAAAAAATGAATTTTATATATCTATTAATTACGTTCAGATTGTTTTATTTGTTACGTTTTAGCGGTGGGACATAAACCGGGGAACTGCTTAAGGGAAAATAAAATACATTTTTCTATCATCATTAAATTTATAAATCATTTTTATAAATATTCAAAAATAAATTGCAATAAACATATAGTTTATGATGTATCGTGTACCGTCGGATGTGCTTAATAAATAGAAAATTGAAAATGTTTGCCACGAAAGATATTGAATTTCTTAAATGTTTAGTACTTATTTATTTATTTTGAAGTGATTGCAGCCTTACGATAAGAGCTCTTTCAATATATAGTACAGATTCAAAAATTTGAAACTTTTGTGATACAAATGCCGCCGGCTGTATCCGGGGAAAACTGTCGAGTAAAGTCAATCTTAAAGCTTTGGTAAGTCGTTTGGAAATCTAAATATGATCAACCATCCCAAAAGGATCAATAAGACGTAATTTACAGGGTTTTCTTATATGCAGTATTCAGTAATAGCCACAATAAGCTGTTGGAAAGAAGTAGCTTCTACATATTGGAACATCTACGCTCACTGGCTTTAAGAAATAAACATTTAATTCTAGGACGGCCCTTTAGTGCACGTCCATTGTTGCAAATTGGGCCAAAACTCTTTGAGCTGCTTTGAGTTGTAGACAACAATCTGTAGAGGATTGGCAGTCGAAGCAGTTTGCTGAGTGAGGGCGATGGAGCTTGCGATGGGCTGAGGTGAGTAATTGGCCTGGGCAGTTGCGTGCCAGAAAGTGCTCCGTGAAATTTGAGTGTCAATCACACGGTCCGATTGGTTCAATATCGGATTTTGAGTGTTTTGTGCAGCAACAATGATTTTGGCTGACAGGTAATTACCATGTTCTTACTCCTTTGACTGGACCTTGGGCCGCGTATAAAGAGTCGTCCTCTTTGATGCAATCTGTGCAGATCAATCGGTGCGTTGGCGAGCTACAATTGACGCAATTCAATCTGCATTCTCATGTCAAGTTTGAGGCCCTGTCGTTTCCACAAGTTCACTGCCAAACAACAGCAACAGCAACAGCAACGACAACAACAATAACAAAAATACCAACAACAACTGTTAAGACGCCTTGGGAACTAATATGTCTACGAGAAGGAGGTATATCCGAGGAAGGGCATTGGCCTGCGTAGCTGCCAAACTTACCATCATAAATTTTTGATCCTCGAACTGATGATCGTTGGTTCGGTGTAGGATGTGCATTGTAATCGGTTTGTCTGGTTAGCTTGGGACAGGATTGTGTTACATAGAGTACGCTATTTGAGCACTGAACTGAACTGATTTTTACAATATTCTCCAAGAAATTCACAGATTACAACACTTTCGAGCATAAGCCGTAGGTGTATCTCAATTGACACATAAGACAGGTACAAAACCGAGTATGTAGATATCGAAGATTTCTATTTTGGCACTGAATAAGGCAGCTATTTTGTTCGAGTTTGTAATTACACGAATGTACTTGTATGTATGTACTATACTGGTATACTCATATGCACGTATTTGTTTTATCAATGTGTCTGCAGTACAGATACGTGTATTCAAATTAAAACGCTCGCTCGAACCGAAAGTGATGACAGTTTGCAAGGCTGCGTGGGTGGAACTCGAAGTGCTACCAATCACAAAAACACTTTTGGGGCTAGCGCTCAATCGCGATTGCAATCGGTAAAAGTCGAGAGCAAAACTTAACTTTTTAGGCAGCTGAACGAAAGAAAGACCCGCAAACAAATTTCTGCCCTTGCGCAGCCACAGACGGTAGTTCTCGACTGAAACTAAATTTTCTGGTTGGACGTAAAGACCTTCAGGGTATGTGGCGGCTGCTGCCGATGCTGCTGTTTGCTCACACACACACACACACACAAATGCACACAAACAAGCGTATACACAAACACTAACACCAATGCACACACTGCACATATATACGTACATGGAAACGAATAAAATGCCCGAAAGCCAACCGCTCGCACACAAATTTTCCTAACACACAGACATCGTCACTCCCTGAAGCAGGTTTTCAAAAAAAAAATTTAAAAAAAAAAACACAAAACAGAAGACAAAACATCCACGCATACACACAAAAGTGCGCTCTTAGCAAAGAGCCCTATGTATGTATATCGGAATCAACTAAGAGCGCGCAGCAGCTCTTAGAGTAGCAGAACACAAAAAATAGAAAAACATTTAAAAGTTGTATATTATAACAGTATAAAGGGAGTGAAAAATTAATGATATACAATGTGATTGATTTTAAAGTTGTTCCTAAAGGTTTACTTTTAGAGAAAATTCACGAATTGAATTCCATTCCATTCCAGTCAATCAATTTCTCAATATTTAGATCAAGAGTAGAATTTTAATCAAGACCTACTTGTTTCCGCTTGCTGCGAAATTCAAATATGCTTTCCACTTGCGGCGTTTAATGCCGATATCCAACCCCACACACAAGCAATAATATAAATCTTAGGATACGCTTTGTTTTGCATGAATTATTTGAGATATTCTATACATGTGGGACTTGATTTTCGTTTATTACTATTTATTATTATAATGTTTATTACTGATAGTCCAAATTGCAATACTAATCTGGAAATAAGAACGTTGTGATTGAGTTTTGCCAAAAAAGAATGTGAAAGTGGCTTGAAGAGAAACTTATTGTGCGTATACGTAACATACAAGAAATTTAAAGCCTCCAATGTTTTTCATTCTACATTTAAATCTGTTGCAAAATAACTATTCGTTTATTGATTACTTTCCCCATAAGAAGCTCTTACAGCTCATACGTACCCGTATATGTATTTAAATGTAGCTTTTATCATTTTTCATTCATAGTAAAAATAAGTAAAGACAAATACTTATAGACTCATTTTTCACCAAAATATAATTGTAAACATTTTTAACGCAAAGGCATGAGTACCATCTAGAAGTAAAGTCTAATCTGTGACCAACATGTATGGCTTTGCTTTTTTCTTCTTGTTAAAAATCAAAATCTCTGTTTGCTTCTATTACAACAAAGCCACATTATGGGACACTTAAAAATAACCTAAATATGTTTTTAATTTCTTCTTTTCTTTGTCAAGTTGTCCTGAGGGCTCAGTTTTCTTAAATATTTCCGCGACCATCGCACAGTTGAACTGCTGCGTTTACTGCTGTGCTAAGAGCATAAGAGAATAACAGTCGCAGTTAAGAGAGAGCGTGAGGGAAAGAGAGGGCTAGTGACTGAAATCTTTTGCAGCTACCAATACCACCCAAGCTCTGTGTGCGGGTCCAAGCTGCGAGTGTGTGAGCCTGTTGTTGGTGTTGGTTTTGGTGTTGATGTTGTTGTTGCTGGTAGTCGTGCTCAAGCTTGCAGCACAGCAGCAACGGCAACTACAGCCATTTATATTTTCGGAAACCACGCCCCGCAAGCTGACTACTAGACAATGGGCCGAACCCAGAGGCTGCGGCTGCGGCAGTGGCAGCGGCCTCGCGTCGACATCGGCCTCGGCAGCGCAGCCTCTGAGTTTTTCTGCGTGTGTGTGTATGTGTATGTGTATATACATGTATATGCGCTTGCGTGTGTTGTATGTACTTGGGCTCGTGTTGAAGTAGTAAATACGAGCACGGGGGTTGGTGGGGCGACACACTGTACCCTCAGGGGTGTGTGACGCTTGTGCTACTGGGAAGAACTCTCAGGCATTGGATGCGAGCGGCTAAATTTTCGCCAACAGTGGTGCGTGCCTTACCATTTCTTCCTCGCACGGATCGACCTCGGAGTGTTGGTAAAAATGTACGCATGAATTGTTTGTATACACAGCCAACCCTCTTGCTCTCCCCCTAAATCACCCCATGTACTTGTATAGTACGAATACATATAAACATACGCGCTAATGTAAGCATGTATGTATGCATGTATAAATATACTTATGTAAAAAAAGCATTAAATTCGGGCCATTTTGCAGCAGATGAAAGTCTGGCCGACCCTCCTAGTGCTTATTTATATTCTACATGCCCACAATGCTCAAGCTGTTTAGTAAGTTTCGTTTTAATTAATTCGTATTGATTAAAATGCAGAAAAAAAATGAAAACGTTTCCAAATCCTGTGCCCATTCTAATATGAAGAACACATTATTTGTCGAGGGTCTGAGGGAATAATTCAATGAAGCTGAGCCTTCTGAAATATTAAATATTTTTATATGACAGCATTCGAATCTATGTACATCAAAAATAAACCTTTAATAACTGATGATACAAAATCTTTGATAGAGATATACATAGTTTCCTTAACAAGTATTGTCGGTGACGAAAAATTCTCCGTGTCTATGTAAATTATATATTTTCAATAACAACAAGATACAGTGATCTGAAATTGTCGGTGACGAGAAATTCTCTGTGTCTGTCACAAAGGAGCCGCGGTGGAAGGTTTAGGCGTCAAAGCCCTACAACTGTGGGAAGATTAGACAGACAAGTGGTCCGACCACCTCCATAACATGTAGTCTATAATTCTTCCTTATGAATGTTACAAACATACACACATACAAGGGCTTAGGCAGGGGGGGGAGTGGGGGGGGCAGGGGGGTTGTTGCCTACAAAAAATTGTTCCATACAAAGTCGATCACACGTTCATTATTATAACACACTATTTCGCCTTACTTGTAGAATGGAACTGAGTTGGATTTGTTGAAGTTTTTTCATTGATCATATGCATAAATTATATTTTAAAATCAATCGGAAAGGATTTTCAACGGTAAGTTTTCAGAATCACACAACTCACAAGATGTGAGTTACAACTCAAAATGTTCATTAGTCTTAATTAGTGAACATATAAATTTGCAGTTTTAATTAAAGCATCTTATAAGCCCATATTTAAGCTATTGTGATCAAAAGGTGTCCGAGAAAAGCAGCAAAGTCGTTAAGAAGAACGATATTAAAATATAAAAAAAGAATGAAATTAATAAGGTTTCTAACCAACGAATAAATAAAGAGTTCAAATCGTCTTTTTTCACCTATATGGTAAATTTTGTATTCATTCTGCTAAGGCCGACCTTCTAATGAATAAACTAAGGTTAAGGGCAGTAAATTAAAGATGTTTCTAAAGCAAACTTTCGATAGTTCTGAAAAGTGTTGTATCATATTTGATGGAATTATATATCATAATATATTGTTTATTGTTTAAAAAGCATCTCGGAGTTGTGATAATAAGAATGGAATTGCTTTTATTATAGACTGTGAAATAAATGCATTTTGAATTATATTATTTATATTATTGTATCTGATTAAAAACTGTCTTGAGAAACAAAATCGAATGCGCATTTTTTTAATTTTTTACTTTACAAGTATAGCTTCGAGTGGGATATTTAGGATTGACTAGACGCCATTTGTTGGCGGAGAATTTCCATTTGTTAAAGCTCCTTATGTCGGTGCCTGAGCCCCGTGCCAGGCTTTGTTTGCACGCCGATGCCGAAGACGCCAGCACGAAGATATCAAGTAATGTTGCTTTTATTGACATATTGCAGGCCCTCAAACGGATTCCAGAAATGCGCAGCAATGGAACGCGTGCAGACACCAACACACGTACATGTACTATACGTGTATTGGCTATGCTATCCTATCCGACTTGTCTTGGGTATCTGAGCGATGCGAGGGCAAGACAGCAGCAGCAGCAGCAGCAGCAGCAGCAACAGATAAAGGAGCATTAACAATCACTACCAACATCAGCAACATCAGCAGCAGCGGCAGCGGCAGCCGAAGTCATGAAGAACCCGAGGCATTGTTCACGTTCACGAGTTCATCCCGGGGCCATTGCATTTAAGCCACATCCTAAATTAGGTGCTCAGGCCGCAGAGTCGCTGAGGCGCATTTCTGCGCCAGCATTGCACACTGGAGCCAGCGGCCGATGTCGATGTCTGCACTAAAGAAAGCTGAGACTGTCCAGTCTGCGCCATTTTTCGAGACTTACGCCATCCCAAAAGTCCAACTACAATATGTATGTATGTATGTATGTAGTTGATATTGTAGTAGTTGTTCAAAGGTGCTCATTTCAATATATGAGCATTGGCTTTATAGTAGTTTCGCTTACACCCCTGCCCGTGGCCCAGTGTTCCCGGGCAGCACGATTTATGCTGGAGTAGCAGCGATGAGGGCAACTGCAGTGGCCGAGGCGGCAGCGGCTCAGAGTCGAAATTAATATTGTTCGGGACTAGCAGCAGTGCTTGAGTAGAAAACGAACCAGAGAGAGAGTGAGCACGCGAAAGAGAGAGGGAGAGAGAGGGAGAGAGAGCGGAGGGTGCATCTGTATCGCGATTTAAG